AGCACTTTGAAACAGAAGCCAGCAACACATTTCCATCTCTGTGATCTCGTAAGGCATGGGTCGACCTTACATCACGGGGAAGGCAAGCGCCGCAAGCAGCATAAGCGCGTGTCAGTCGCGTACGGCGATAAAAAAGCTTATTTCGACTACTTAGATGATGGGCACAGTGTTAAGGAGTGCATTAAACACTTTTGCGGAGAACTACCTAGAAAAGGACACAGAGCCAAGGAGAAACTAATTTGTAAGTGGCGAAAGGCTGCTACAACAATAAGAAAGGCATTCGAATCAGGACGAGGTGGTCATCATAAGCGGAGAAGACTAGGTGATGCAACAGTACTGAGCAAGAAGGCTGAGGCCAAAATTGTTCAGTGAATTAACGAATTCAGGCAGGAAGGCGTGCCCGTTTCACGCTTCATGCTAGCGACAGAAGCCAAAGAGATAGCCTCTGAATATGGTGTTCCCCCTGAAAAATTTGCAGCTTCAGCCACTTGGATGCAACTATTCTTGAGGCGGCACAAGCTTTCTCTTCGGACAAGAACTCGCCAGGGACAGACTACACCAGAAGATGCAGCTGAGGCGGCTCGAGATTTTCGTGTATTGGTGCTTCGAATTGTCGTTGAGGAGAACTGCACCAGAATATTCAATGCAGATCAAACGGGTAGGAATTTGATGTTTTGATACATTGTATGAACATAACTTCAATCTAACTATCAATTAGCTGTATTTTTCGAATATGTTCCTGAAAAGACAGTATCCACGAAGGGAGCCAAGACAGTTTGGGTCAAGTGTGCTAATAAAGACAAAAACGCGCTACTGCAATGCTACTTGGGGATTCATGTGGAGTTAAGTACGATCCTTTTATCATTTTCAAGAGTGCATCCGCTAAGAAAGCTGACAAACAAGTCGAGAATAATGAACTTCGGCATGGATTTGGAGAACCTACGTGGCGAGAAATATCTCTTCTTCAACGACAGCATCCGTGTCAGATTTATTAGCTGGACCGTCCAGACCGGATATGACGAAGTGAATCTCGTCGAGTTGGTCTGCTTTGTCATCCTCGGCCATTCGGAGTGGTTTTTCGGGTGCTGGTCTGCTTATGGATACTCGTGCTCCAGCAGAAGGTGAGACCGTTGAACTAGGCACCAAACGTATCATCACTTTGCTAGAAAGATATGATCTAGCCGAGACAGTCGTTTATTCTGATGACGACATTGGAAGTGAATGCAGCAGTAGTGACAGCGATGGTGATAGTTAGATCTTAAAGTAACTAAAACTTTGACGCGGAATGATTATTTTTTAGGATTTGTAGATCATATGCCAAAAGATCGTGTTGGTGAGTTGTCGCCTATGACTACGATAAGACGGTAACTCGGATGGTCTTTCCAATCAGCGTGAACACGAGAAGGAAAGACAGAGAGTGAGAGTACCGAGTCTGTTGACAGCGGTCTGGTGGTGTTGGATGTGTTCGATTTACGGCAACTTCATGGATGGTATGCGAAAGAGATTACCTTCGGCCCAACAGACGCAGACGACATGAATTTGAAGGCGCAGAACAATCAGTCGACGAAGCGATTAATTGTGACGGATAGCTTTTACTCGACAGTGTCTCTTAGCCTCAAGCTACTCAATATGGGCTAACATCATGATGGAACTACATGGCGTGGATCGATTGAGGAGATGCCCGATCCACTTTACATGCAAAAAAAGGGTTAAGAAGATACCGAGAGGGACCTACCGTATTGCACAAGCGCGCAACTGCCTCCAGCTCGTTGCGTTGAGCTAGTTAGACTCAAAGCCGATGAGTATGATCGCTACGGGCTGCTGTACGAGGCGGACCAGTGTTTTACGGGCAGATAGCATGTGTCGCGTAGTACAGTGCCG